GGTGGTGGTAAATGGAGATACGACCCAAAATATAGATATACAAAAAGGCATGAGACAAGGCTGTCCATTATCACCACTGCTATTTATTTTTTACATTAGAAACATTGACAGATCTGGTTAGAGAAAATGACAGTATAAAAGGTCTTAAAGTTAAAGATGAAAATTTTAAATTACAAGCGTACGCAGATGATCTTGTATTTGTAGTGGAAAACCCTACAGACTCTATCGCTCCTTTGATGGATTGTATTGAAAGATATGGAAAAGTATCGGGATTAAAAATTAACTATAATAAAACAAATATACTGACAAAGAATTGTACAGTAGGATGTGTAGAACAGATTCAAAGAATATCACATATGAACATTGTTAAAAGAGTGAAATATCTCGGAGTGACAATGACAAAGAGAAATAATATGTTAATAGAGGATAACTACAACAGATTGTTATAAGGCATCAAAAAAGACTTAGGAAAATGGGAGAATCTGAAATTATCCTTTATGGGAAAAATAGCTTTATTAAAGATGAATGTATTACCGAGATTCTTATCTTTGGCTCAGAACATCCCGGTGCTGAGAAATGTTAAATTCTTTAATGAGTTGGATAGAATATGTAGGCAATTTGTATGGTCCAGGAAAAAAGCACGGATAAAGTGGAAAGTCTTACAGGATAGGAACGAGAGTGGGGGCTTGGGACTCCCAAACTGGTAGCTTTATTACTCGGCAGCAGCAATGGTATGGATAAAGGAGTGGGCGTCCCTAGAAAACAAAAGGCTTCTAACCTTGGAAGGTTCTGATTTAGCAATGAGATGGCATGCATATTTGGGATATGAAAAAGATAAAGCAGATTCCAAATTTAAACAACATACTATAAGAGGAGCCCTTAATAAAATCTGGCAAGAGACTAAAGAACGATTCTATATTAAAATGCCAAGATGGATATCGCCATTAGAAGCATTTACAAAGCCATCTTTAATGACAAAATCTAAACTGCTTAGCTATGAGACGTTATTAGACAAATATGATAAGTTAATTTCTTCAGAGCAAATGTTGAATCAGAATATAGAGTTAACATGGTGGGAAACAATGCAATTGAAAACAAGATTTGAAAAAGATAAAATTAAAGGGATCTACCGGGAGAAAACTGATTTAGATAAATTATGGCTGTCCACGAACGATAAATTAATACAGAAGTTGTATAAGTTATTTCTGGTAGAATATGAGCAGGATGAAGTGGTGAAAAGTTCAATGATAACGTGGATGCAGGACATTGGGCATATAATCGAGGATGAAAGTTGGTCTAAAATATGGAAGTCTGTGAAATACTTAAGATCAATTCCGTATAAAGAAAATGTGTTTAAAATGTTTCATAGGTGGCATTTGTCACCAGATAAATTGGCAAAATATTACCCCAATTTGTCAAGAAATTGTTGGAAGTGTAAAAATAATGTGGGCACCTTCTACCATACATGGTGGAGATGCCCGGTGACACAACGTTATTGATTTATGGTACAAAAGCTATTAACAAACATATTAAAGGTAGAAATACCTTTAATCCCAGAATTATTTTTGTTAAATATAACAACAGGTAATTATAAAATGGAAGAAAAATATGTAATTATATACACAATCACAGCAGCCTGTATATTGTTTGCCAAATACTGGAAACAAGGGGGAATACCCCCCAAAAAGGAACTAATTTATAAAATTTTGGAGGTGGTAGAGATGGATAAATTAACTACAAGATTACAAAATAAAGATGATGATGTGTTTAAAAAAAGTGGGAAAAGTTATACATATGGTTGGACAAGAGAAATAAGGCGAAAGAATGACTCCAATTTAAATTTGTATTATTGTTTGTATGTTATTCAAGGGTTAGAGTAGATATGGAAAAGGATGTAATTACTGTTGTATATTGGAAACTTTTTTTTAATGTATATGCAAAAACTGAAAATAAATTAATTTTAAAAAAATCATTTCCTCTAACCACAACTACTTGGGGCTCTTAGTTGTTTTTTAATGTATATGGAAAACCTGAAAATAAATTTTAAAAAATCTCAAATAATTTTTATATATTTTTTGTTTTATATTTTTACAATTTATTCACAATATATTATTTATCATATAAGCCTGAATATATAGAAAGAATCATATATCAAAACATCTAAGTATCGTCTCTTAATATATCACAAAAGATATTGCACAACCCCTTTATTAATATCAGTCCTCCTTAATTATACAAAAGTTTTAAGAGGGAGGACTCCTTTAAGTCTATTTTGAATAAGTGCTCAGTCTTCCTCCAACAGAGGTCCAGATATCCTCCTGTTTCAGTGTCTTCCTCAGGGAGTTCAGCAGATATTTCCAAGCACAAGGTTGTCAAATACCAAAATACTTATCCAAATTTTTCAATAAACACTGCAAAAAGTCTCCCTTAGTGAGCTCAAAGCTTCCTCCAAAGTGCTTTTCACTAAGAGAGACTTTTTGCAGCGTTCATTGAAAAATTCATGCTGCTCTTAGAGGGTACCCTGTTTCCCAGAAATAGTTCTGGGGAACATTTTTGACTGCAAGAAGGAAGGGGAAAGCAGAGAAGTTAAGCCCCACTGGTCAGCAGAGATTTTCAGTCAGCGGATTGAATCCAATGAACAGAATGAATTCACAGAACTAACCTCTTCCACCCAAACCTTCTACCCCGCCAGGCTGCTTCTGCCAGTTGGGAGCCATAGGCAATGCAGCATGATTGAGCGTGGGATGCAGAAAGGTATCAGCTGTATATTAGGAAAAGGTTTTCACAGTCAGAGTGGTTCAAAGATGGAATCAGCTGCCTAGGGAGGTGGTTAGCTCCCCTTCACTGACGGCTTTCAGGAAGAGGCTGGACAAATATTTGTCAGAGATGCTTTAGGCTGGTCCTGCGTTGGGCAGGAGGTTGGACTAGGTGGTCTGTATGGCCCCTTCCAACTCTACGATTCTATGAATACCAGGGCTTGAGATGCAGAAACAGGCTATCAAGCTACCTCGCTGAAAATGCCCAAACCCCATGGGTTGCCAGAAGTCGCCATGACTTCCAGGCATGCAAGCACATAACACACACGCATGCACACTCACACACACAAATACCCACAAAAAATAGACCATTAAATAGCTGGTAAGATAAAACCCCTAATTAAAAGCCTGAGTAAAAAGATACATTTTGATTTAGTATCTAAAAGAAAATAAAGCAGGCATCAGGTGAGCCTTAAGGGGGAAGGACATACCAGAGGTGAGGTGTCACTGAAGAAAATGCCCTGCCTCTAGTCACCACCCACCACACATCTAAATGTGTGTGGGGAGGAACAGAGAACAGGGCTTGAGAGGCAGATCTTATTTGGTTGGATATGGGAGGAGGCTAGTGTTTCAGGTACCTAGCCTCATGCCGTTTAAGGCCTTAAAGGTAAGAACCAGTACTCTGAATTGCACCTGGAAATAGATGGGCAACCAATGCAGGAGTGATATGATCCTGTAACCAACCCCCAACAATAGCCTGGCTGCTGCATTTTGGACCAACTGAAGTTTCCAGACAGTTTTCAAAGGCACAGGGCATTAAAATAGTCTTAACTTAAATCTGATCAGAGCATGAATCACCTAACCCGCAGTTATGGTGGGGCTATGCCCCCTTCCTTAAAGGGACAGCCCCACAAGATTTCCTTCGACTGTGGCTAGATCATGGTTTTTGAGGAATGGTTGTAGCTGGCCAAGCAGCTGGAGCTGATAATAGATACTATATGCCATACAGGAGATCTTAGCCTCCAACCATAAGCCAGGTTTCAGTAGCAACTCCAAGATAAGAACCTGCTCCTTCACGGGGAGTGCAGCCCCCTCCAAGACAGGCTTACTCTGCATTCATATATATATGAATGCAGTATATCATGAAATATATCATTCATATATTGGGGTCATTAAAATATTGGGGACACCTCACTCCAAATCCCCAGGTGACCTCTCCCAGTGGGTTCAGCAAGGGGGACAAGATGGAACCTTGTAGAACCCCCATATCACAAATGCCGCAGGACCAAGCAGCAGACTATGCACTGATGGCAAAAGTGACTGATACAGTATAAAGAAAATAGACTGAAAGTTAATGATTTTCAAAAACGTCCCTATTAATTTCATAGATACAACTCATTTTATTCTAACAGATGTTTTGAAATACTGTGAAAAGGTCTGTGCTTCCGTTTCCCTAGGAACCTAAAACCTTTATTATTTATTTTCATTTATATTCTGTCTTTCTCCCCAGCAGGGACTCAAAGCAGCTGACATTATTTTATCCTCACACCAACCCCATGAGGTAGGCTGGCCAAGAGTGTGGGGCCTGCCCAAGGTCACCCAGTAGCCTGTCACAGCAGAGCAAGGAGTCAAACCTGGGTCTCCCAGGTCATAGACTGATGCTCTAAACGCTTCACTGTGCTGGTTCTCCGATTATAAGGCATGCATTTTTCCGTATAGAAACAAGATTTATTTATTTATTAACCTTCTGCTAATACTTGATTCTTTTAAAAGCTTTTGATGTCTGGTTTTAACATTTTCCACATTTCTTTATAACTATGCTTGATGCTTTTATGGCTCTATTTATTTGGATTTTAATGTATTATAATTCATCATTCTCTACAGCAGGTTCTTGATATTTCTAAACTTACCTATCATTTTAATCACTGATAAATGTTTAAAAACAAAAGACAGCAGTGATTTAATTTATTATTCCTCATACTGCTGTTCAACTGAACTCTTGGCCACCAGTAAGTTGGCCAACAATATACAAGCCAATTCATGCAGTGATTCTGGAGACAGAAGAGCCACCATATAGTTTCACTCTATTCAGAGTAGAGTGAGAGAATCCCTGTAGGTGCAAAAGATAAGTACTGCCATACTGATGCCTTTCTTGCTGCTCTGAATATGAACATAGAGCCATGCTGTGCCTGGGGTGAGTGTGTGCAGTGCCTCAAACCACACAAGAGCTCAGAAAACCCTTACCATGGCATGTGACCTCACTGGCATTCTTGAAGATGACATCCCCAGTGCTGGACTGGAATCCTTCGACACATTTGCAGTTGTAGCTTCCATAAGTGTTGTGGCACCTGGCACTTTTCCCACATTTGGCAGGATCTCGGCACTCGTTGATATCTGCAATATAGGACAACACACTTTGTGAGCTGCCTGTTGACTTGCATGCATTGAACGATGAACTCTCAGGAACTGAGGATCTGAGAAGTAGCTCGAGGACATTCTGAGTCGGTCTCCACTGGGACACCAGACTCTCTGAACACAGTTCTCAAAACATAGAGACGGGGGGGGGGGCTTCCCATTTGGGATCTCCCGTATTGTCAATGGCAGTGTTTCTCAACCTGTGGGTTAGGACCAGTGTTTCCTCTAAGCTGAGTTAGTGTGAGCTAGCTGACAGTTTTTTAGCCTCCAGTTCACACATTTTTGCCTTAGCTCAGGAAGGATGGGTCCAGAACAAACTAATTTATGCAGTAGCCAAATCACTCGCTCACAACGTTAATGCCAGTAGCTCACAAAGTAGAATTTTTGCTCACAAGACTCCACAGCTTAGAGGGAGCATTGGTCAGGACCCAAAAGTGGGTTGTGAAGCCAGTGTGGGGCGTGGTTCAGCCCTTCCTAATGGCCACCCCTGCCCTTTCCATTGCTCTCTTTTGTATTTTGGAAACAATATCTTCCATGTCATACATTAGCTGGTATTAGTTGATATTTCTTCCTCACTGCATATATTGGCCCTTTCGGAAATCTCCTTTTAATCCATGTTCACTTCGGTGTCCTCCAAGCAATTCAGCACTAAAATCGAATTCAACTTTCTTTTCATTCTGGAGTTTCCCCTCATTCTGCATTAAATTACCTCCCTTCAGTGGTCAGCCCGGTTTCAGCCTGCTATTGCCCCAGGTTATTTAGATGCTGTTTTGCTGTGGCCTTAAATTGCCTCGACTCGAACACTGAGAAATTCTGGAGTGGCAGGCAAATGTGGAAAGGACCAATGTTGATCAAGTAAATCTTGTCCTGATGGATACCAGAGTGAGCTTCTTAGAATCTTAGGGTGGATTAGAGGGAGTAGAGGAGAAGGAGAGGGTGGTCAAATGTAACCTCCATATGCAAAGGCTGTATATGTCAGAATGCTACTTGCTTGGGGTTCACGGTGGGGGAAGCTGCGCCCTTTGTGGAATGTTTGTTGGTTTCTCAGGAACATCTGGTTAGCTGCAGTAGAAAATGGAATGCTGAACTAGATGGGCGCCAAGGTAATAGTTTGCCTAGGGCACCAAAAAACCTTGGGCCAGCCCTGGATGGATCACCCTACCAAGTAAATTTTGACTTCTGGGTCATCATACCGAAAAGAATGGAATCCCTCTTGTCGTGCAGCAAACAAATTATTAAGACATATCCATGGCTTCAAAGCTGATGCACTAACTCGGAGAGCAGGAATATTTGGTCTGAAGAATTTTGAAGTGGGGGAGCGGGAGAAGATAGCTCTTTCCCAGGCAAGACACACCGGAAAACAGCACGTGGGAATCTGACAAAGGGGAGCTTTGACTCTTGAAAGTTTATACTCTGAAAATTTTGTTGATCTTTAATGTCCTATGGGACTCAGATCTAATGTAGTTCTAATGTAGTTCAAGCATTCAAGCTAGAAATGCTTCTGATAATTTCCCAAAAGAAAATTTTTAAAAAACCAGTCTGACCTTTTTTTTTTGGGGGGGGGGGGCAGATGCCAGGTAAGTAGGAAGCAAAACCAATTAATAATTGACTGGTTACTTTGTATTTTAAATTTAAAATGATTTAAACATTGATTTTGATAAATGTATACACTTTGGGGGGGGGGGGCACCGACCTGACCAACAACTGCTGTACATGCCCAGCTGCCTGCGCAGTTTGAATGGCACAAGACTATGCAATGTGCTTGGCGCCACTGGCTTGTTCCCTCTCTCTCCTCCTGGAACAGCCATACCAGGCATACCTGTCTTGCTGTGCTGCTGCTACCACTTCCCTGTCATCAAAAATATACATATTTAGACTGGAGGAGCAGTGTAGTAGGGGGAGACCTGGAGGGAGGGCTGTTCTTAATGTCACCTCATACTTTAGGCAGCCTTGCCCAAACTGGCTATAAAGAGCAGAAACGGGTGTGAAATCCTCCACTGCCCCCAGAACAGAGGACACTTAAACCTAGGAGTCAAGAAATATTTTTGCTAGGAAATCTGCTGGGAAGGCAATCTGTTTGATAACAAAAGTTACAGAGCTCCATCCTTTAAAGTTCCAGGCCACTCAGGAAGGGTTGATAGGGTTTTACCACTCCCACACCACATAGTTTCCTAAGAACATTCTCCCACACTATCTATTAGCCTTTTAAAGAAAAAAGACGCCTCTCTCTTTTTTTTTAAAGAGTTATAACAGTGCAGGGATCCCAATTTCAATTAGCAAAATTGTGCAGGAGTGAAAGAGTTAAACCCCTCTCCCTTCCCTCACAAGCCCCATCAAAGTCTGAGCCAGGTAAGGCTGCAGTTTAAAAGTGGCCAATCACAGATCTCCCAGCATCTCCTTTGCTTTGGGCCACTGACTACATTCACATGCACCAGTTCTCAGCCCTTCTCCCTCTGTTGGTACACAAGTGTGAAAAAACAGACAGGTAGTTTTAAATGCTTTCAGTTCAGGTTCTGAACTAACAGATAGCCATACAGGAGAGCTAAGCTGCACTTTAGATATGTCTGATTTCAGCCTTGTGGGGAAGCTGCAAGAAATGCCACTAGGAAGTGGTGGGAGTAGAAGGTGCACATTTATTGCCTTGCGATGATGGTATCAGGCCTTCTTGCTTCCCAGGTTCAGTATTAGTTCACTCTGTACTAGCGCCACAATTACAAAAAATAGTCTTGTTACCACAGCAACATTTTTCTTCATTTTCTTCATGATCATAACCCACATACACGACCTTGCTTCCAGGTTCCTCGGAGCATTCTGTTGAGAGAGAAGAAAGAACAGCAGTTGGTTAGAATGTGCCAATGCTATGAGATCCAGCTCTTAGTCACACCCCACCACCCCACCAGGAGGACATCTCCAATTATTCCGTTAACCTCCTTGTAGAAGGCTGCCCTACTTCAGACATTCTACTCCCCAGGTATGGTAATCAAAATTCTGCAAATGTTATTTGCTTATAATATACCATTTTATAACTTCAAACACTTTCAGAATTCTCTCTAGAATTCCATTCCTGCAGGCTTGGGTGCTTAAGAATCTCAATTTTCTGTGATTCTGGGTTGTCTACTCCTAAGAGTAACTTAGCAGAATAATTTCACATGGTGTGGACTTTCCCAGCTTATGCAGAGATGGGATTCTGTAGTATAGGTAAGGATGCCAACTAGCCTGAAGAGAAATGTTATGTCCCTTTAATAAAGGCTTCATGTTTAGAAATGGGGAGTCAAAGCTTTTAATGGCACTGAGGTAAATTTCCCGCACATCAAACTGATATTAAATGGTCAGCCAGAGGACCAGTTTAAAAGCTGGCAACTCTACTTGTGGGTAGATTTATTTTTGAGTTCTCTTCACTGAAAGACTTTCCTTCTATTTTCCATTGCAAGTATTCAATTTGCCATGCAAGAGAGACCTATGGGCATGGATCCTGTACAGAGCAAGCACAGTAGTGCTCACAGAACTGAGCTTCTCTGTCTCCTTTTCTCACTGCAGATGCCCTCCATAATCATGTCCCTGGGGGGGGGATCACTGGACCCCCAAGAACAGCATGGGGAAAATTACAGGGGGGTGTTTTGTGGTGGGAAGAGAGAATTTGTTAAATTCCCCACCACCACCACCTTCCAGAAGTGTCTCCTTGCCAACAGAAAACATGGTTGGAATCCACTCAGTTGGAAACCCTATGCTTCCCTTGGAATGGGTGCATCTGCCCTCAGCATACTCGTTGTACTGTTTACAGGAGAAGCATTTTGATCAGTGTAGGAGGGTTATTAATTTAATCAGAATTCCTGGTTGCAACTTAGCAGTATTACCCATACCAGTTGTAGAGTACTGAATTTTTACAGGATTTTCTGTGATCAAATAAAACGAAAGTTGAATGGCACCTTAAAGACTAAAACATACTCTTGTTTTATTTTGTTACAATAGACCAACAAAGCTATTCCTTTGCAATTTTCTACGCTCATTCTGGAGTATTTCGTCATTATCCTGTGAACAAGCAGTTTCTGTTTTACGTGATCATGTCCCTTTAAAAATTATTTTTAAATATTTTTGACTATTTGGTTGGTTTGGAGTTACACTGCAACCTACTGATAAATTCAGCATACTAATAATGTCAGCTTTTGAGATGCATCATTATTGTTATTATCTTGCAGATGAGGAACTCCGGCAGAAAGTACTTAATGGAGAGTTACCATCTCTCTATCCAGGAGAATGGTTCTTAGTGCCACGGTCACCCTGAAAATAACTGTGTCCAGGTTGGCTGCAGGGAGTAGGAATAACTGTGAAATCCTCTATCATCTATGAACTGTCTCTCTGGGCAACTTGACAGGACAGGAGGTTTCAGGAGGGGCAGATTGTTCAGCTTGCGATGCTGACATAGGCCCACATACTCCCCACATTCAACATTAGTTCTCTCTCTTCATGCACCGCAATTACATAGAAAGCAAAATAGCATTGTTACCATCACAGCTCAAAGAAATGCAAGGGCCATATCCTTCTGGACAGGAAAGGGTTTTGTTATGGTTGGTGGGTTCTGAATAAAAAGAAAGAACATCAGCAATATGTTAGAATCTGATTATGCTACAAACCCAGATCACATTTTTCTCATCAGACTCCCCCATCAGAGGGAAACAATACTTTTTGCCTATTTTTCCTAAATCTTACCCAACATACCAACTCTTAACGTTCCCCCCCCAAAAGTCTCAAGACGCTCCATACTCCATGACCAGCATGGAAATCAAAATTCTACAAACAGAATATATTACGATATCATGAGCTGCTCTGGACCTCTATTTCTGCAGGCGGAGGTGTCCTGCACATTTTCACATGTGCAGCAGAGTTGCTTGCAGCAATCATCACATGGCCCTTACATACCACGGAAAATGCTCAGTATATCACCTTGCATGTTGTTGTCTTCCAAAGTTGGAGCATAAATGGTACACGTGGCTTTCCAGTGGCTTCCCTCTATCCTTCTGTAATAATATTCAGCCCACATTCTCCACACACACCCGTTTTCATGCCCAGCTATTTTCTCAATAGGCAAATCTTTCAGTTTTGAGGAGTAGAATTCATGGTATGGCCAAAGGCTGGACAAAGGGTAATGCTGTGGGCCAGCTTGACCAGCCTGAGTCGAGGAGTCACATGCAGCCAGCTCTGAACCAGCTAAAGTTAGTGAATCAGAGATACAGGAGCCTCAAGAGTTCAGGGGAGTTGAGGGGATTGCCTTGAAATGGTTTTCTTCCTTTCTCCATGGTCGGGGACAGAGGGTGGCGCTGGGCGAGAGGGTCTCCCCATGGTACCCTCTAGAATGTGGAGTGCTGCAGGGGGCGATCCTCTCGCCAATGTTATTCAACATCTATATGCGCCCCCTCGCCCAGTTAGTCAGGAGGTATGGGCTGGGTTGCCATCAGTATGCTGATGACACTCAGCTCTAACTGTTAATGGACGGTCACCTGTCCTCCATTCCTGGAAATCTGGCTGAGGCTCTGGACACAGTAGCTGGATGGTTGCAGCAGAGTTGATTGAAGGGGCTCTGGACACAGTAGCTGGAAGGTTGCAGCAGAGTTGATTGAAGCTAAATCCATCAAAGACAGAGGTCCTCTACCTGGTTCGGGGGGGGGTATGGAGGTGAGCACCAGGCTTCCCACACTGGAAGGGGCACCTTTGGTGCTGGCCCAGTCAGCGACGAGCCTGGGAGTAACGCCAGATTCCTCCTTATCTATGGAGGCCCAGATTGTTGCAGTGGCCAGATCTGTATTCTTCCATCTTAGGCAGATCAGGCTACTGAAGTCCTCTCTCTCTCCCCAGGACTTAGCTACAGTGACCCATGCAATGGTCACCTCCGGGCTTGATTACTGCAACTCACTCTATGCAGGCTTACCCCTGAAGCTGATCTGGAAATTACAGCTGGTACAAAATGCGGCTGCTGACATCGACACCTGTGCGGGCTCACGTTCGGCATGTGCTTTTTCAGCTGCATTGGTTGCCGGTTGAGTACCGGATCCACTTCAAGGTGTTGGTAATCACCTTCAAAGCCTTATACAGCCTGGGGCCAACATACCTAAAGGACCACCTCTTCCCATATATGCCTCGAAGAGTGTTACGCTCTGAGAGTCAACATCTCCTGGTGATCTCCGGGCCAAAGGACGTCTGCCTAGCCTGGGCCAGGGCTTTTTCTGCCCTGGCCCCCACCTGGTGGAACATGCTGCCTACTGAGATCAGGGCCCTGCGGGATCTTATTCAGTTCTGCAGGACCTGGAAGATGGAGCTGTTACACCAGGCTTTTGGCTGAGGCAGTGGGCGTCCACACATGGCTCCCCGAGGTTGCTGTCTCCCACCCACTGATAACTGGTCATACCTACTTACATCAATGGGCCAGACTCTCCCTACAGCAAGCTATGATTATTGATTTTATATGCTTATAATGTGTTTTAAAATTTTATTGTACTTATGCAAATGTTGTAACCCACCCTAAGCCCGTTTACGGGATGGGCGGGATATAAATGTGAAAAATAAATAAATAAATAAGATGGCCAGCAGCTGACCTTGGCCCACCCATGCGAATCTCTCTTTAAAAAAAAATAATTTTATTAGTTTATATAAAGAAGAGGGGGAAGGGGAAAAGAGGGAGAGAGAGAAAACTATAAAAGTATACAAAATTCCAATTTAGTATTCCTCATGCACATCTTATCGTTACACTTTCACAGCTATTTCATCTATCATTGTTATTATTCTTCACTTAATCTTGTTTTCTCAAAATTAGAGTTTTAACCAGTCATAAAATGCCCTCCAGGGTCTCATAAATTCTTCTTCCATTTTTCCTTTTAATATGTTTGTCAACTTGTCCATTTCAGCGCATTCCATAATCATTAATATCAATTCATGTAGCACTGGTATCTTCAGTGTCCTCCATGTCATTGCAAATAGGATTCTAGCAGCTGTTATAATATGTAAAATAAAATATCTATGATTCTTATCTAACTCATCTGGTAAACAATTTAACAAAAATATTTCTGGCTTAAAAG